AAATTCTTCTTGCTATAGTATGTTTAACATTTGATTGTTGTATTCTGCATCGTGCGAAATGTTGAGGAATGGTTAAAATTACGGACATTCAGACTTGTCATAGATATTGGTTTTATAAACGAGCTCTATGCATTTCGGAATAATCGGACACTATTCATTTTTTTCAAAAGTCAAAAATGTTTGCAGAAATTTTCAAGAAATACATGTATCATTAGTAGATAGTTTTTTTAAGTTTTAATTTCTTTAAAAATTTAAAAAAAAGTTTTAAAACTTAGGTTTGAGAGAACATGTATACGTGCATATAATTTGTTGCTTAAGTTCTGTGTTCTAAATTCTTTAAAAGCAGGTGGAATTTGTAATTATTTAAGTAATTACATGGCTTCTTTATTTGTTGTACTGTTTCTAACTGTAAAACGGAAGGCTGGGTGACAAATTATTCAGAAAAATTTTAGGATTGTAAAAGAACTGGATAAGTTTTTTAATCTTAGTGCGTACCTTTTATTAATTTGAGCTTTATCCTCTTGCTTATTTTTTAATGAAAATTAAACTTAAGAAGCATTCTTAGTTGATAGCCTGACTTTTCCAGAGTAATCCAGGACAAGACGTAAATGGTAATCTTAAAAAAAAGGGGTGGGAGTGAGTATAATATTGTTATTTTAAACAACTGATTTAGCATGTTACATTGCACCAGCTAACAGAATAAGTATAAAGTCAAAAATTATGAGGACCAGTATTATGAGGGCTGTATCTAGTACCTATTTCCAATTCTAGTATTTTCTGCTAGAATTCCTTCCCCCCCCCATTTAGAAAAATTCTTTTCACAATTTAGTTCATTACATTTTATGATTATCGAAGATTTCAATATGCTGGCGTTTAATTTGGTGGTTTTCTTCCTCCCTGCCCAGTTTGTCACATACTATTTATTAAAATACTATATTTACTGGTGAAGAATTCGTTTCTGTTAAACACGATCAGGTTGATAATATTTAATAATAAGTTCGATTTCTTCGTTATAAGTTCGATTTCTTGTATTAAACTGTATTCATATTCAAAATGTACTAATTTTCTCAGTTTGCAAAATTTTCGCAACTGTAGTAATTTACAGCTGAGTTATATAATTTTTTACTCTGTATTATATGCGTTTTCATTGAATTATCATTACCAATAAATATTTAAGTTTTGTTTTGGTTGTGTTTATATATCTTGCATGCAATACTGATTATGGTTATTTTTTTACTTTCTTGTACGACGTAAAGCACTTACTGTAATCGCAAAACATTTCGTGTATCATATTTCAACAAAAGTAACCATTGGGATCGCTCTCGAATCCATTTGACCATTTTGGCGGCTGTTTATTTGCGTTTGAAACTCTTAGTAGTGTAGTGAATTAAGTCAGTTGGTAAATTATCGCTTTGGTGCAACTTCATTGCTCTTTTATCCAGTGGGATCAAACGTTATTTTTGAATTTTTTTGCATCAAATATTTTGTTTTCCTACCCGTTAGCAGAATTGCTTATTTTGATGTAGAAACTCCGATTTACATCAAAGCAAACATCGAAAACATTTTTAAAAACTGTTTTCTGTATTTTATAAATTTTGATGAAGGTGTTTTAATTTTTTTATGTATTTTTGCCTGGCCGAGAAGTGAGAACTGAATTGATTGATTAAGAAATATATATCTAATGAAATTCGGGGAAATACATTTAAATAAAGTGAAGTAAGAAATGTGTATTATTTAATAGATTGTTCAAGGAAGTCATGTGGTCATGTTACCGGAAAAGTGTGAAACTGGCTTGCAATGTATGAAACAATTTTAACATTTCACACATTGCTTAGGCATTCTATAGAATGCCGGATGACAAACTGGGAAAGTATGAAATACATCTACGATTTGCTTCGAATAACCGAAACTACTAACCAGAAGTTATGTAGTAAAAGCGAAAATGACTACTAAGAAATAACCATGGTACTATTGGCTGCTGAATCTCTATAATGTAATGTTTATGGGGGAAAAAAATTAACTCCTTTATCGTTTTAGAGCAGGTGTCAGTATTATACAGTAACAGTATTACGTCGCGGACATTAAGCTATTTCACGTACTTCATGAAATTCATTTGGCTATTAGACACAAAGGACGTGGCAGAATGTTGAAAGAACTTTCTGCCAAATACAGAAACGTTACACGTAATGATATTGAATTGTGCATCCATCTTTGTGAGCCCCAGGAGGAAAAAAAAAAAAAAGTCTAAACCTATGATTGTTTTTGAATTTCATTCCTTTGTCAGATAGATCTTAACTGATTGCCAGTCTCAGTCAGATATAAAATACAAATTATTAAATGTACCAAGATCATCTTGAATAAAAGTTTTTTAATGGCATTCTTTGGGTAATTTTTCAAAATAGCATTTGTACTTTTGAGAAATGAAAGCCTTTTAAATAATAGCCATAACATGACCGTTTTTCATACTTCGCCTAAAGAACATTTGACATTCTATAGAAGCCTAGCTAAAATATTTAATAACTCTCATGTTTCTTACTTTGCCTAAAAAAGCTATGTGTTCTGTAAAATGTCTAGGTATTCTACAGAATGTCGGCGTTTCATACATTGTCGGTAACATCCATATCTCAGATTTATATATATACATTGGGTTAGTTAAAATTGCGCTTAGCGCAATAGGCCATCAATTAAATGCAGTATATTCTTATTTTTGTGAGAATAACCTCTGTATGATATGAATGTATGAATGTGCAGTAAGATTTTTCTGTTTTGAATGTTTATGTATAATGAGGATAAACCTGAGATTTTTTTTTTTTTTTTTAATGTATAAAACAGCCACGAAAAAATATATCCTATTTTTCTCACAATAATACTTTAACCTTAGGAAAAGAAAATCATATATAATAATTGTTTTATAGGTGTTCTTTAAGACATAATTACCACTTTAAGTGTGCCATAAGGACATAAAATTTGAATAATACAATTGCTTACTACTTACATTTTGAAAAACGAGTTATTTCTCAAGTGATAAAATTAAAGATTCCAAAAAAATCTTCAAGATAAAATGCATTTTTAGTTCTTCATGAAAATCAAAATATAATATTTTGTATGAGGAAAAAGAATATTATTTAAAATATGTTTATAATTTTTTTAAAAAGTGATTGAAATATTTTTCACATAATAAATTGGAAGCAACAATTCAGTTTTACATTTACAGTCAAAAGACTTTAATCCGGACTCGTTGGGACTTCGGCGATTCCGATTATGACTTTAGGATTATAAATCATCAGTTTAAATCTGGTAGGATGGCATGCAGAAATTATAAAATTAAAATATGAAACCGTAATTTATGAAATGAAGAGCAATTATGCTAAAGGGTATCAAGATTTACAAAAAAAAAAAGCTTAATATTATTTGTTTACTTTATTAAACATTTCTTTCAAGCGCGTAAGCATACATACGCATTCGAAATTAGAAATGCAACCAGAAAACTATTTGATGTGTATTCGTGATATTTATAATGACGAGGAATTTGATTTAAATCATATCAAAGACGGAGTACATCGAGAAATACTACATTTAGTAAGAATATAAGCCGAATAAAAAAAAATTGCCCTGAAGATAAGGATGTGCTGACAGATGACTTCCAGTTCATTCACCGCGACGTCCCTTCCCCCGCAGAGCAGCGTGAAATTGATAAACAGATTTCGGATCGTTAGGAAACAAAGGATATGCCTTTATCCATTTTTTGTAGCAATTCCACTTTTTGTTTGATGGACATCGAAACATACTTTGGTTGGCAGTCCAGCATCGGAATCATTTTCATAATCGAAGTCAAGCTTACTTTTATAAAATTGCTCTAACATCTGCAAAAAATAATAAGCCGGATCCTAGTCGAAGATTAAGGAACAACGCAATCTGAAACATTAACTGAAATAAATAATTAGATAATTTTAGCTTAGCTTATACCGTCCGTTATACATTAAACGCTCATGCATAAAAGTATTACGCGCATGCATTATGCGTTAACGCATGCGCAGAAAGTTTGTAGCTTTGAGGTCCGGATTATGAGTGTCCTGTTTAACGACTTTTGACTGTATTATGTTTGTTACTTAATGTCCTTCATCATTATTCTGAAATGTCGATTTTTGTATTTCATGTCTTTGTTATTAAAGCCATAGTCTTTTGCAGGAAAATAAGACACCAAGGTTAAACGAAAATATTCTAAGTGTGTTCATTAATTTTAATAAGGATAACCTTTTTTTTTATCTAAAAATCCATTGTGAAGTAATAATAAAATGTTCTGTTTTGTTTCAGTTGAGTTTTTTACCATCAATTTGCAGCTATGTAAAATAAATTAATTTTCTATTGACTGCTGTCAATTATGGCTTCCTATTGCTTGAAAGATAAAATTGCATATTTGGAAGATTTAAATATTGAATAAAATTGAATAATTGGAAGATATAAAAATTGAATAGAATAGTTTTAAATCAGAATAGTTAAAAGAATAGTTTTAAAATCAAAAAAATTAAAAGTGCTTTTTGAGAGCAATTAATATTCAGATTCAAATATTTTTAATAGTCATTCAACTTTTGAAAAGTGCTTTTGTGGACAAAATTCTTGATACATATTTGTTCACCCAGAAAAGTAAAGTAGTCATTTCATCTCATAATAAAATAACCACAGTGCAATTAAAATGCGTATATAAATTTTATATAAATATATAAATAGTATATAAATTAAAAGGTGCTTTTTTTGAGAAGAGACAGCTTACTGTTATTTTTTTTTCCTTAACTAGAAACTTGAAACCTTTAATTAACTAGAAACTTGAAATCAGCAACATATTAAAAAGTACTGGGAAATTAACAAAATTTAAAGTTTGGATTTTATACTGTTTTAGTTAAGTTTGTACTGTAGGCTAGCAACCACACACTATCATATTATTATTATCATTATAATCTTTGTTTCATTTCATCCAAACTATAACTTTTTTCTTCTTCCAGGTGCTGTTCAAGCCATGGGTGATAGTGATAGCTCCAGTCAGAATATTTCATGCTTTGATTCAGACTGGAATTCCAATCAGTTCCTTACCACTCCTGAAAAGAAAAAAGATCAGAAATCCTCAGATGATTCATTGCTTGAACACTACTCAAATGTCAAAGATAATGCTAATAAAGATTATTCAAGGTAATTCTTAAATTACTTTCTTGAAATCAAGTTCAGAATATGTAATTTTTCTTCGTTTAATTTTGTGTTTATTAATATGCAAATTTTGACAAAATTTAAGAAATTGTTGTGTAAAAATTTCAATCATCCTTGCATACACCTTTTTTTTTTTTTTTTTTTTTTTTTAATTTTACAATTCGTTGTCATAAATTTTATGAAATTTTTTTGACATTATCATTTGTGTATTATAATTTTAAGCTACTCTATATATTTTGTGCATATCATCATATATCTTGAAAAAATATATAACTAATTTTGTATATATCGCTATTGCCTCCTCCAGTATAACAGCAGTTTTATATAAAAATTGTATTGCTTGTTGATTGTAATTTGTTTGTAGCTTAAAAATCATAAAGCTAAAATTTTCATAGTGATTGGAATTGCTGATTGGGAGTACTGTACACAGTCCCTGACAGGGGCGTAGCTAGAGGGGGGCATCTTTCCCCGGGCGCAGAATCCAAGGGGCGCCAAACTGATGTTACAATATTTTAGAATTAAATGTTTTCCATCTTTGGCAAGCAGTAGGGGGCCCGGAATCTTCAGTTGTCCCTGGACGCTGACACAATGAACTGGAAGTTGATCTGTCAGCACTATCCTTATCTTCAGGGCAGATGTTTTTATTTTATTGGCTTATAATTCCGTACTAAATGTAGTATTTCATCTTGATGTGCTCCTCTTTATATATTTTAACTTCCTCGTCATTATTAATATCACAATACACATCAAATAGGTTTCTGGTTGAAATTTTCTAATTTCGAATATGCGTTAAGCGCGAGTTGAAAGAATGTTAATAAAAGAAACAAATAAATATTAAGCTTTTTTTTTTTTTTTTTTTTTTTTTTTTTGTAAATTTTGATACCTTAGATATAATTGCTCTTATTTCATAAATTAGGGTTCATTATTTTAATTTTATAATTTCGCATGCCTCTTACCGATTTAAACTGATGATCTATAATCCGAACCAAATCCAGACGCGAAGTCTAACGAGCCGGATTATGGACTTTGTACTGTACTTCTTTCTTTTGCATACAAATTTATATTAATATCATTAACCCGCGAGCACGCACGCTAAAAGTAAGAACACGAGAAGGCGTGCTGGGTTAGTCATACCCAAAAGCAATTAACACGTTTTAAATTGCATTAATGATATAAATACTAGTATAAATGTGGATTAACGTGAAAAACAATGAACTTTAGTATATTTTAAATAATATAATAAATGAAGTACTTAGCTTAAAATTGTTTTGCACATCTCTGGCAGACTGAACACATATGCTTCATACAAATACTGATATTACATTTCTCGCACAGAAACTGTGTCTTTCTGTCTTTGTTTTTAGGGTACTCAGCGCATCTTCTGTAAATGGTTTTCATCTTTTTTAAATGGTGTTTCCATATTGCAATCTCCTGAAATTATTTTTTCTTTTAGTTTCAAAGGGAGCATGATTTGCCGCCGCCATTGATTTGAGTAATCTTACACTAACTTTGGTCCTAATGATTTGAGAAAAGAATGCCTGTTTCTAAACTGAGTTGGTGGTTCTTTTATAAAAAGTAAGATTATCTGTGCATTAACTGCTGCAACATTTAAAATTGAGGAAAAATCGCTATCTAATTCAGTGTCCATCTCACTGTCTGTTGATGCTGTTGTATTCTTCATCTATTAATTCTTCCTCCTCTTCGCTAAATGATTCATAATCTGTTGAAATGGTTTCTAGCATATTTCTCAACCTTTCTATTTTTTGTCATAGCTTAGATGCATCGCTATGCTGACTACCTAAGAAAGTGAGGGTGAACATCTGAGAGACGCGAGAAGGCGCACGGGTGTCACATACCCAAACGGTACAATTCCTATAAAAGTATTCAAAGAATCACTCCATGGACATCCCACCTTCAAGAATGTGACCTTGAAATCAGCTACAAAAGGTTTCGCCCATTTCCAGGAAAGGGGTTTGGAGATAAGGGACAAAGAATATGCCCCTGGGTATGAGATACACGGCGCATGTGCTCGCGGGTTAAACCATTTCTCAAACTGACTGTAGTGCCACTTTCATTTGAACGACCCTTATATGTATTTTTATCTTATAATAATTATTGTGTACCTGTATAATGTGTTTCTCAATGATGTTCCTGTTTAATATTGCAGTTTCTTTAAACGCTGTCTAATCTTCTGTTTCCTTTGAATTCAGGAAATCTCCTACGTCACCTGCTGGCTCACCGACAGCAGTGTTTGGAGCTTCTCTTCATCAGAAAGATTTAAGTTATGATGACTTATCTAAAAATATTGATGCAAATCTTGCTGAGATTGATATGGAAACATTCCGCTCTGAAGATATTAATTCCATACTAGCACTTCCTGCAATTTACAGTGGAGATTTCCAGTCTGCTAGTCATGGGGAACAGTGTGCCTCTGTTTCTGGGTCTTTATTGAATGGTTTAGAGTTGGATACTTCAACAAGGTTAGCTTTGAGTGTTTTTCAAAATATTTTAAGAGACACTATAATCTAAATAGTCCCTTACAAAGTTGCATAATCTGTAATTTTTTTTTCATATGTGTATTTAAATAAAAAGATGCATATATGTATGTACAGGGTGATGAAAAAATCGCAAAGATCAAACTTTAAAATGTGATGCAGTGAATGTTACCCCTATACAGTTACAAGTAATATATCATCTAAAATTTAGGTTGCAATTTATGCTGTTAATTTTAAAAACCATTTGTTTAGTGCAAGGTGAAAAGGCAGTTTTTCCCAAGCAGAACGAATTATTTTATAATGCATCCTTATGAAAACATTATTGAACACTTATAGAGACCTTCCCAAATATTAATTGACATCGCAAGACAAGGATTTTTCGTCTGGTAATTTGATTTCAAGAAACTGAAAGCATTGACCTTTAAAAAAAAAAAAGATTTATGAAATGCAGTCCCTTATGATAAATTTGATTGGGATGTCCATTTTCTCACGTACTTTTTTAGTATGTGAGAAAATTAAAACAGCAGCAATAACAACTGTGAGCTCTCTCTTAGTTGTATTTGTATAAGACAAGAGCTTCTTGAAAATTCAGGAAAAGTCTCTCACATGGAAAACGTATCTCGCATTTCACTCAAGCTCTCTTTGTATTCTGAATATTGTTATTCTCAGATCAACAGAATCTTTAATCCCATGTTATAAACACATATAAAAAATAAATGTGGCCACAAATAAATAAATAATGCTACAATGTGGCAAATGGATTTAAATATTTACATAGAACATATACACTCACGTTTGTGAAAATTGCAACACCAAGAAGGAATCGTCATAATTGAATGCAATTTAATACACAGTTGAGTGGTAGTGGTACAAATAAATGATTAAAGTTCAAAGCAAACAACAAAAACAAGAGATCAGAATCAGTATTTTGTGTGGCCACACGCGCCGCAATAAGTGCTGCTACACGACGTGGCATGGAGTCAAAAAAGTTTGAATGTCTGACTGAGGAAGAGCATTCCAATCGTTTGTACCGTACCCAAAGTTCGTCTGCAGACGCAACAGGACGAGGATCACGAGCAAGACGCCGACCAATGACATCCCACCATGTTCAATTGGCGACATATCCGGGGAACACGCAGGCCAAGGAAGAGCTGTACCTGCTGTGCTTGCAAAGAAGGATTTAACAATCCGAGCAGTATGAGGGCGGGCATTGTCCTGTTGAAATACAGCGCTGGCAAGCTTTGAAGGAAGGGAACAGCTTCGGGCTGTAGAATTCACGGATATACCGGTTGCTGTTCAGATTGCCCACAATTCGTAGAATTGAGATCGTCTATGATTGCTATGCGCCCCAGACCATAACTCGGGTGTTCGTCCACTGTGGCGTTCGTAATGCACTCCGGAAGGTGGCGTTCACCGGCATAGCGTCTGACACGAATGCGGCCATCATGGTACCACAAATTAAAGCGGGATCGTCAGAAAACATGACATGCTGCCAATCAGCACGCCAGTCTCTATGCTGATGCCCATTGTAGCCGCAGGTGGCGATGGTCGGCGTAGGGGATCCTGTATAAAGGAGTCCGTGCGGCAGTCCACACTGCAGCAGACGTCTACGAATTGAGAAGCACACAATGAAACACCTGTAGCTATTGACCACAGTGCTGCCAATTGTCTAGAGGAAGCTGTACGGTCGTCCGCGCCATGCGGACAGGGTCTATCATCGCGAGCTGACGTCACATTTCGGGGTCCACTCCGGATTTCGAGTTGTCCGCACTCGTCCGTCCATGCTTCCAAACGCGCATCACTGTGCTGCTGTTACGCTGCACACGAAGGCTACTGCACGATACGACAATCCAGCTTCTTCACGAAGGCCGATGATTCTCCTCGTTCAAACTCTGTAAGTGTTCAAATCTCGCTCTCTTTCGTCGACGAGGCTAAGTACAGATTGAGTTAACGTTTACCACTAGCAGATAACCACCGATACTATACACGCTCGCTACAGCCGTCATTTATTCGGATCCATCAGCCGTCAGAGGGCACTGCTCAGCATACGCATGCGCTACGGATTTGCAATTCTAATCATTTGCATATCATGTGCTACTTTGCATTTCCTGAAAATTTCAGTTCACTCGCATAAGTCCTTCATGGTGTTGCAATTTTCACAAACGTGAGTGTAGATACACCAGTATAAATTATAGACAATTATTTGATTCTTCATTTTACAAACTATATTGCATATTTAGTACTGCTTTGAATTAAGCTTCATGCTATGTAGTTTTCACTATCGAGGTATACTTAACCTTGAATTTGGGGAAGGGAGGCTGGCATTTGTTGAAATGAGATTCTTCAAAACAAACTAATTTTTTAGTTCAGGAATGTACAATTCAAATTATGAAACCTCTGAAAAATTCAGTATTTGTCTTTCATTTTTAAACTAAAATTAATTAATTAAACTGAATTTTGAATTGTTAAACATTTTTTAAAGTTTTTTATGCATATATATACAAGTAATCTCTTTACATATAAAAATTTCCATTGTGTATACATGGCTACTTATAAGTGCTGCACAAGTAAACAGATTTTATAACTTAACTACTATATAATTTTATTAGTGCTAAATACTTTAAGTATACATATAGAAAGTCAACATTTGATTAAAGGCATTGAAGGAAATGCTAAGTAGATTTGGAAAATTGTCATTTTTTTGAAATTTTAAGCTTTTTTTTTTTAAATTTATAATATACTATTATTTTCTGTTACTTCAGTGAATATGAAACCTTGTATTTGTGTTTATAATCCTGCCACAAAGTTGAAATTTGATCATTGTTTTTTTAAATAAATGAATGATGAATAATTACATTAATAACATTTCACTTTCATTTTTTTTATCTTTTATTGCTTAAAACTGAGTTTATTTTACCATACTACAGTAAAAGCTTGACCATCTGGATAGCTTGGGAAATGCCGAATTCTGGATATGCAAAATTTCCACATAGTTGAACATATAAAGATTGAAACTCATGGTGGAAAAGCCAAATGAATGGAAGAAATTTCTGATCTAAAATTATAAAAACAGTCATTTTTTTATTATGCCAGCTTGAATATCAAAAGCCTAAATTTCAAAACAAAAAGGTGCATTTCGGACATAAACCAATATATATAATAGATCTTAAACATGAAAGTAAAACTTCTTATCCATTATGAAATCCCATCGAATATGACAGTTGGCAGAGATGACACCAAATTTGCACCAGTCAGTATGGTAGATGTTTAACGGAACAGAATGTTTGCATAAACAGATATAAATTATGGGCATAGCATACAAAAACTTTGTTTGCATAAACAGATAAAAATTATGTGTATAACATATAAAACCTTAAATTGCTTATTGCAGTTTTTCACTTTGTATTGCCAGCCCACCAGTGGCTGAGCGGTATAAAGTCGCTGAACGTTGGTAGTTCGGTCCGAGGTTCGAATCCCACGAACGTGCTGGCTGCATGGGCGTTTTTGAGGTTTTCCCCATGTGTAACGTGTATACGAGCCAGTTTCCCTTTAAAAAGTCCTCCACGAAGGCATCCCTCCCTTAGGCAGATAGCCCTCAAGGCTTTGCCATAATCGCACACGCACACTTTGTATTGCCATTGTTTATCCATTTTCAAGTAAAGTCATTGAACCCTTTTTTTTTTCTTTTTTGATTGCAGAATCCTGTAACTTAGAAACTACCCTATTACATACTGTCCCTTGAAAGGTGGCCACAAATTGATATCATTTTTTCAAAATGGTAAAAAAGAAAGAAAACAAAACTTATATCATTTCTTACAAAAATTAAATTGGCTTGACTAGAAGAGAAACACGCTAATGTGACAATCTAGTGCTGATAAGGATCATGTGTTTCTGTGACTCCTTCTCCTTTATTTTCTTCTTCTTTCTAGGTATTTCTTTCTCCTGATGAGGAGGGACCTTTAGCTGCCCTCGAAATCGATTGAGTGTTTCATTATACCTACGCTAAATACAAGGTTGTTTTTACGATTTTGATTAAATTGGCTTATTGAGAGTTAATTGGGTTTATATAAAACCAAGGCGAAATTCTTCTGATTGTGTTTTGACATCATGCATATCCATTTCTGGCACTAAAACACACAATTTGGCTACAGTGTATATGTGCTAGTATAGTTCGACTATCTATAGCGCAACCCTGGTTGGCATTCTGCCAAAACACATAGACTTGTCCAAAAGGGGCGGTATGACTTGCTGTGATGTGAAATGTCTTTTCTTCTCCGGAAAGAGCTATGCTGTAGGGAAAGTAAGTCCCCATCCTTCCACCCTATTTTGAGAATAATTCATAATTCGATCCGAATGGCGCATGCGTGTTTGCGCTCATGGTCGCGGATGAGGCGGTCGAACTATAATATAGTGAGTTGTAAAAGTGATAAAAATCTCTCATTTACTTAATTTTTAAGGGAAAATATTTTTTCTGAAATTATTATAATTTGACTTTTTCTGAGCTTTCTGGTTAGCGGAATGACAGATAGTTGGGCATTTACAATAGTTTGAAAATACAAATTAATATGTATGCTTTTCAGTTTTAATTTTTCATATATTTATGACCTTTAAATAGTTTGTGTGGTTTTTTAGAGTGTGGCACACCATTGTGAAAAATAATAATTGGTAATATCAGTTACACACATGTGAGAATTAGTAGTTTACAGTAACTGGCTTGTACTGTTTTTTTAAGAAAAAAAATTGGACCCTTTTTTCCTGATATGAAATCATGGTACTCTTCATTTGTTACAGGTTATTTTTAAGATTTCTAGTGAGAAGCATTAAAAAAGTTTCCTTCATGCTGTTAGAAATTATTAAAATTATTTTACATTTCACTTTCATAAATTTGTAAAATGTAAATTACTTCACATTAACTACCTTTAAGCAACATTAGGTGTAAGTTGTTGGTAATGGTGTTAGAAATAGATCTACTGCTGTTTTAGTCA